CTCTCTCTCTCTCTCTCTCTCTCGCTGTCTTTTTTTCTCTCTCTCTCTCTCTCTCTCTCTCTCTCTCTCTCTCTCTCTCTCTCTCTCTCACTGAATTCTATCTCGTCCGCGTATATTCACGGCGATATTTCGCAAACGTTTACAAAAACGAAGCCTCGGCTGTAATATTAAATAGAACAAAATTACGTTGTTGATTTCGAAGCGTGCAGTCTATTTGTCCGTCGATAAAGCTTTCGCGAATGTGTATCGGTGTTCGCATTTGCGAGGCGGCCTCGTGGCGCGGCTAGTTAGTGCGAATGAATTTGCATCGGGGTTTATGCCGGGCATCGATTGCCACGGAATCGGCGGTTGCGAGAGAGTGACAGAAAGGTGGCATCGACGACGGAATTCGCGAGAAGTTCGCGCTCAGACGAGGCGGTTCGTCCGAGCCCGGAGCCGCGCGCGGCACGGAGTCCCGCGCTTGAACGCGACCTTTCGTTAATTAACGAACGCCTCGCGCGCTCTAATGTAATTTCACGAGATAGCCATCTGTGCGCATGAACGGGACCAGGCGGCAACGTAACGCTCAATTCATGCTGCCATGCCGGGCGGCAGCTTGTTGTACGCCGACGGGGAAACTCGACGAATTCGTCAATTAGCGAATCATCGCAGGCAGGCGACGACGCTTCGTCGAAACGTCCGCTTCCTCTCGTATCCTCGTTTCGCGTTCTAACGTTGAAACGCAACACTGAACGATGAGCCGAACACGCATTATTTATGATCGTAGGAAGATCGTTGTTATTTATTTATTAGGCCCTGCAGCTAGGAATTGGACTTCGGCTGCGAAATACGAAACTTTTATATAATATATTTATATAAATATTACGAAACTTTTATATTCTTGTATTTCTTCTGGAACAGCTAAATAGTTGAAGTATCCCTTCAATTTGCCGTAGAATTTTGCTACACAGATCAATAATTAACGCCAAGAGGCGTGGTACCAACGCCGCATTTTTTTTCATTATTCTGTCCCAAAAATGTCTCGTAATCCGGAAACGGGAGGTTCCCGAGGTCATTTGAAGCAACTTTTTCCTGTGCGAAAATTTTCTCCGAGGCTTCGTTTACGAGTTATCAACGAAAAGACACTGACCAATAAGAGGCGAGCTCGGCTGGTGCGCGGCGGCCCAGCCAACGAGCGCGCGGAGCCTAGTTCCGCCGATTGGCTCGACCGTCTAGCGCGGGGCGGTCGCCTAGCGCTTGGCAGCCGAGCTCGCCTCTCATTGGTCAATGTTTTTCGTTAATAACTCGCAAACGAAGCCGCGGATCGCAATTTCGCTAAGGAAAAAGTTGCTTCGAATGACCTCGGGAATTCACTACTTTCGGATTGCGAGACATTTTTGGGACACCATGTATATGTGAAATAAAATTTCGCGACTACAATTACACTGTTAACAGTTATTCAAGTACAAACAAATTTGATAATGTTGAAATTATTTTGAAATGTTACGTAAT